CTTCGCATTCTTCTATCCATAGAAGTCTGTGGCCTTCTTCACTAAGTTGAAGAAGGGTTTGCATTTGTCAGAACTTCTGCTTATGAACCTATTCAAGGATGCAACCCTTCCAGTCATCATCTGTACTTGCTTCGCCGATGTTGGGCTTTTCAGTTCTAGGATGGCCTTGATCTGATCTGGGCTGGCCTCAATGCCCCTTCTGGTCACCAAGTATCCCAAGAACTTAATAGATCCAACTCCGAATGCGCATTTTGATGCATTGAGTCGGAGCCGATATGTTTTTAGGATGTCAAAGACTGCCTTTAAGTCTTCCAGATGGTCTTTAGGTTCCCTGGTCTTCATGACCATGTCATCGATGTATACCTCCACTGTTCGGCTGATTAGGTGTTTGAACATCTTGGTTACCAACCTCTGGTAAGTTGCTCCTGCATTTTTTAACCCAAAAGGCATCACTCTATAGCAATACAGTCCTTTTGGGGTAATAAACACAGTTTTCTCCTCGTCTGGGGGGTACATGGCTATCTGATGGTACCCCCTGTAGGCATCTAGGAAGCTCATCCTTCCATGCCTTGAAATGGCATCCACCAGTTGGTCAATTTTGGGTAAAGGAAAACTGTCTTTGGGACAGGCCTTGTTTAGGTTGATAAAGTCCACGCAGACCCTCTATTTACCATTCTTTTTCTTCACCACCACTGTATTCGATAGCCATGTTGGGTAATTTACCTCTCGAATGGCTCTGGCCTCCAGAAGTCTGTCTACTTCCTCTTCCACTGCCTCAACATACATCAACGTCGGTCTTCTTGCCCATTGGATTACATGTTTGGCCGAACTGTCTACGTTCAGCTTATGGCAAGTGACCTCGGGGTCAATGCCTGACATTTCGTAAGGCGTTCAGGCAAACACTTCAATGTTTGCTCTCAAGAAAGCCTCCAGTTCCTTTTCTTCTTCTTCGGCTAAGCCCGAGCCAAGAAGGAAGAAGCGTTCTCTATCCCCTTGCTGGACGAGGATTTTCTTTAGGGCTTCTTCACTCTTCTCGACTGGCTCCTTGCCGACGTCCTCCAGGACTTCTACGTCCTCATCTTCGATCTCTGACCTTTCTGGTTCCCGTATGCTACAGATGGATTTCATTGCTGCCATAGAGCAGTTCTTTGCCTGCAGCTGATCCCCTCTGACCTCCTCTATCCCATGCTCTATTGGGAATCGCAATAGCTAATGCAATGTTGAGGGAACAACCCCCATTGTATGCAACCATGGCCTTCCTAGGATAACAATGTAAGGGAAGGGTGTGTTGATTATGGTGAACTCTGTATTTATCTTTCTGGTGCCAGCATGCACTTCCAAGCTTGCTGCTCCCAGTGGCTACGTCGACGTTCCATTGAACCCGACCATTGGGTCATTGGATTGCTCCATATTGTCTAGGTGAAGGCCAAGCTCCTTGTAACATCTGACATACATGATGTCACAAGAGCTGCCTTGGTCAATTAGGATGCGCTTCACTTGGCACTCCCCAACCTGGAGGGATACTACCAAGGCATCGTTGGGCGGATGTTGTACCATCTTCAGGTCGGCTTCAGTAAAGGACACTATTGGTCCCTGGCACTCCTCGGCCCGAGGTCTTTTCTGTCGAACCTGGTACACATGCTGCAAGTGCTCTACCTTCTGGGTCTCCCCCCGTATTTCGTTTTCGTTGACCTTCGAGTGAATTACATTAATTACCCGAGGTCCGTCTGCCTGCAGTTATTGTGCTGGAGGGGTGGAGCTGCTGGTGCCTGAGGCAATCTTGCCTACTCTTCCCTTGTCCTGGCCTCATCTACAAGGTCCCTCAAATGGCCTTGCCTTACCAGGTCTTCTAGGTGTGACTTCAGGGCTCTGCAACCCTGAGCCAGATGCCCATCTTCGTTATGGTAAGCACAATTCTTACCAAGGCTTCTTCCCATAAACTCTCCTGGTACCCTAGCTGGTGCTCTGAAATAGGATTGGGTTCAGATTTTATCCAGGACTTTGTGAATTAGGATTCAGAATACAGTTGTGACTGTCTGTGCGGTTCTCAATCCTATCTCTTGTTTGTTGGATTCGTTGTTGCCTCGGCCTCGCTTCGGCGAGCCGTTTCCTTTCTCTTGCTTTGTCGCCTTAATCCTTGGCGTGTCTTCCTCGGCTCTGGCATATTTCTCAATTCTGGCCATGAGCTCCTCCATGCTTTTTGGCAATGTCTTTGCCAATGGCTTTCGTAGTGCACAATCATCTTTTAGGCCGTTCTTGAAAGACACGACCGCCACCTCTTGGTTGCACTCGGGTATTCGGTTGAACACCTCATAATACCTTTTTGCGTAGGCCCTAAGGCCTTCATCCTCACTGATCCTCAGAGCCATCAGGCCGTCTACCCTTAATGGCTGTAGTTTGTTTGTCACAAACCTGGCCACGAACATCTCGGCCAAGCCTTCCCAGGTCTTCACACTTCCTTTTGGCAATTTGTGAAACCAATCTGATGTAATTTTCCCGAAGGATGAAGGGAACACCTTGCAAAGCAACGGCTCGTTCCCAGTGTACAATGCCATCGAGTTCAAGTATAAACCGACGTGAAAGTTAGGGTCCGACTTACCATCGTATATCTAGAACCTCGGCATACTGAATCTTTTCGGGGCCTCAAATTTGTCTAACTCCACCAAGAATGGTGTTCTCGGCTTAACAGTCGAAGTTACCTCAGCATTTTGTTACTTCCTCTTGAGGTAATCTCTCAAGTCCTCTTTGGTCCGCCCAGGAGCTCGGCTATCTCCCGATTTTAGTCTTTTAGGTGCACTACTCTCAGCTTCGTTGTGAGCCATTTTCGACCTTTCTCCATTGGTCGCGTCGAAGCACAACTCCTGCCTTTGAACATGCCGATGTTCTCTGGGATCTGCTTCCTTGGTACGGTGTATCCTTCGAGATTCTTCCCTTCTCGACTCTCCTCACCCGACCTCCCTTGAAGGCCCGTGAGAGTGTTTTTCGCTCTTGGTGTGCTGGGGGGCTACAAGAATTGTTTTCTGCCCTCCCTTCTGGGGCATTGGCCGCTGGAATCGACGTGTCCTGCAGCGGGAATGGTGGTTGCATGACGTTGTCTTGCATCATGAAATTGACGACCGATTGCAGGTCTGCCAATTTATTCGTCATCCCCTTCATCTCTTCGTCCCTCCTTAGGCATCTTTCTTTCCATACCTGGAGGTTATCCTCGTTATATTACTCATTTTGGTCTGATTTCTTCAGTACGTCGCCCTCCTGGCTGACGTCCTTTCCTTCGTGATTCTTATCATGAGTCTCTTCGTTGCAGTTGTCTCATTCGATGTCAAGGTCAATAGGTCTTCCACTCCAGCAGGAGTGTCGTCCCCAACCTTCTCTCTCTGTCCGTCGTTGGCCATCTATTCTCCTTTCTTTCCCACAGACGGCGCCAAATTGTGTAAGTGAATTTCTGACCACACTGCCAACTCAGTATTCAACTGGAGAGTACTGGCAGAATAGATGGCGCCTGAGTGACCTGCAACAGAAATAAGAGATTCCGGCGGTGGTTCGTCCACCCGGGGGCACTCCGATGATCAAGTCAGTTATCTCCAAAAGATAGATAAAGTGCTTAACTCACTGTTCAGAATATAAATTGCGTACCTTAGACCCATTGGGAGTGCCTCTCTTTTATAGCCAACTTAATCCTAGTCCCAATAGAAACATAGCTTTAATGGACTTCAGCTCAGTGCTTATCTTAGACTCTCCAGTAGATAAAGATAAACTCCCTAAGAGCTTTATCCTTACCCAGGCTGAGGTCCTTCCTCATTCTAGGACTCTTGTCATTTATCCGCTTATCTCGGACTCCGATATCTTCGGAGATAACCTCGGCCTAGCCGAGATGATCTCGGCGTCATGACCAGGACACGTAGCACCCCGGTTGACACGTCAGCATCACCTTGGCCACGTGTTGGTACTCAGAAAATATATCTCCACAGATGATATACATGGCCTCATTTAATATGTTGTTTTTATTTATTATGGTGAACTTTGTTACACTTACAATCATATGATATAAAAAAAATTAAAAATTAAAAATTATAAACTATTTAAAATTTTTTTTTGTATAATTAGTATTTATAAATTTAAAATGAAAGTGAAATTGTAATTCTAATTCCAACCGACTCGGGTTACTTGGACTATATTATTTACCATCAAGAGCAATGTCAATTCAGTGCAAATTAAAATTAAAATTTTCATATTTAAAAGATAACCATATGAAATTTTCCATCAATCTAAGATTATTTTTTGAACTTCACAGTAAAATGTTATTTATTTATTTATTTTTGTATAGTTGTGCACCACTACTCACACCACTACTCACTTTAGCATCGTTTGACAAAATTATCAATGTTTTATTTTCTATTTATAAAAACACAAAAATTAAGTTTTTGTTTTTATTATATTTATTTATTTTAGTATAAAACAAAAACTTATTTGATTTATAAAAATATTTGGTGAATTACGGGAGGTGGTGACTAGTAGTGAAGGGTGGACAAATGTTGTGGCTGGTGGTGGAATGGTTGGAGGTGGCCTCTGGAGGTGGCCAGAGGTAAACGAGCGGGTACCGATCGGATGGTGGTCGTAGCTCATTCGAGTTTGCAGTTAGCCTACAATGCCGAAGGTAGTGGGGCAAGAAGAGTGAATTTTATTTGAAAACAAACACTTTTTTGGTTTATAAAAACTTTGAAATTAATTTCACTTTTTTTTTTTTAATTTGTTTAAACAGAAACAATATACCAAATAAATTTTTATTTTGAATTTCCAAACAAATTTACAAAAAAAAAAAAAAAAAAAAAAAACAACCAACCAAAATCCAACACCCATACACAAAAGATTTGTTTTGTTTTCTGTAGACGGCTACCCACCGATTTAAATGATATATTCTCCTTTCAACATACACAACACAAAGAAACTTCCCTGTTCATTCAATTATGTAAAAGCCTTCCTCCAAAAAAAAAAAATGCTCATTTCCCCAAACAGAGAAACATATTGTTCTTTACTGCAATAAACCATCTGATCGGTATAAGAAACATTAAAAGTGAATGTGGTAACATCCAAAACTCATATGATCTTAAACATGGAAAATATTTTTGACTGAAAATTAAGAGGTTCTCTTTGTATAATATTGTCTTTCATCAGGGAACAGTATTTTCTTTTCTCCAGTATGGCATTGTCTAACATGGCAGGGCTTGCGAATGAGACATAAACCTATGAACAGCAGCAGCCACATTTTGCAGATGAAGAAAACAGATTTAGGGAAAACTACCTATTTCAGTTACGTTCGAGACCATACATAATAATCTTCTTTATTTGATGCTTGCTTTAGGAATGGAAGATGTGCACGGCCCAGCAGATGTCATGAATGGGATTCCCTTGAACGTTGCCACACCCTTGTCATCGGTGAACAGATGCTGCACCCATGAAAAAAGACAATGTTTATACACGAAAATTGAGACAAGCAAAAAATGCAGATGACCCAAAGCCCAACAACTACAAGATGAATTATTCTCAACCCAGCATTCAATTAATGGTCAAAAATCTTTAGTAAAGATGATTGTAATTCGTCATAAGTGGGCGGTCAAAATTTTAGGCCACCAGCAATTTTGCTAACTAACAAAACAGTACAATGGCTAAAAGCATCAGAGTATTAACAGTGGAAGTAAACGCCTACAAATGATTTAAGAATTAAATCCACAATTCAGAAACAAGTTGGTACATACTGGTGTAATCTTCTCCAACTGTTTCTTTTTTGGGTTTAAAACATCTTCCGGCTTTCCCTCATGCCTGGATGGAAAATATTCATAGTACGTTAATAACCCAATCTTCACAGCAAACCATGTTTCTATGGACTAAAATTTTAATCATCCACTACTACAATAAGAAAAAAAGCAATAATAAGACGCATAGGTTTAGGTATACAAAATTGTTCTTAATATCAAATACACATTCATCTTTCTGGTCACAGTTTGTCCAACTTTCCTTTTTCTCAATACAGCACACTTGCTGCTTCAATGTGACCAATAAATTATAAGTTTGTCCAACTTTCCTTTTTCTCAATACAGCACACTTGCTGCTTCAATGTGACCAATAAATTATAACGAGCACTGGACACATCTAATGCAAATTAACTACTGCCAAATAGTATAGCCAACCAACACCATAATAGTGAAATTTAACAAAGGGTAGATCACATAGAAAACCCTCATGCATGAAAACTTTTTTTTTTTTTTTTTTCTTTTTTTCAGCCACACTGAACTAAGAAACTTGACAACCCTTCAGTATTCATCCATGTAATTTATCCTTCAATGAATGGTTCCGAAGAAAAGATGCTCAGATCTGGTCACCAATTATTCTGCCTAGAGCACTTTTCAAACAATCAGATCTTCCAACATGAAAAAACAAATTCACATCAAGCACAACGTTTGCTAGTGATGCTAAATATAAAAAGCAGCAGTATTTCATCAGCACCTAGAAAGTTAACCCCTATTATGCCCTTTGTAGGTGTAGTTTTTAATACATACCCCGAAAATGAAATGCATTCACCAACTTTGGCACCCTCTGGAGCAATCAGAGGCTCCACAACAGAATGATCTTCACTAGAAGCACATAACACCTGAAGAAAAATAAAAACCACAAAAAATGCACACAATTCAACCAACTCTCTGCAGAGTTTACAGGTACGATAACTTCAGTACAAATACTTCGCTGAAAAGTAATTTAAAGTGACAATTGACTGAGAAAAGGTGAAAACCAAATGTTCAAATATGTTTCATGTAATCAAGGTTGTTAAAATCGGGATCCTACATAAGATCGGTGAGAGGGTTGTGAGAATATATTGTGTAACTTACGACTATTATGTAAATATGGAATTAGGTTGCTACGTAATTATGGAATGCTATGTAAATATGGAATTAGGTTTGTATTTCCTATTTTAGATTAGGGTTAGGATTCCTATAAATATTGGTTGTAATCTTTGTATTATTTACAAGTTGAATATACAGAAAACTTACATGGTATTAAAGCCAAAAACCCTAGAAATTGTTGCTCTCTCTCAGTCGTGAGTTGTGGGTGATCTTCTCCCCCAATCGGTGCTTCAGTCGAAGTCGTGCCTCGTCTTCGCTGGTTGAAGTCGAGTGGTCTGGCCTTGTCTTCCTAGGTCAATCGACTCTGGTTCGTGATCATCGGCAGCTTCTCTCTCTCTCTCTGGAATCACGATCGTGGTTTGGTTGACCTCTCTCTCTCTGGTTCGACTCTGGTCGATCAACTTCTGCCTCTGCTCTTCGCGAGTCCTACTTCACGAGCCCTAGCACTATCGTTGTCACGTTGTCATCGTCGTGTGTCTCCCTCGCATATTCGCTGACCAGTTTGCTTCGCCGACCATAGTATCTCTCCTTCTCAGTTGCTTCGCGATTGATTCGCGTTGGTATCTCTAATTACTGGTTGTCTATATTGACAACAATAGTGTTCTGCTTATTACTCTTTTACCCCGAGGTTCTCCGGAAATTATAATCTGATCCCAAAGTTTCTTGGTTCTTTAGTTTCATCATGTCGGAGGATAAAATTCAGGCTATAAGCTGCTGGCTCACTGATGCCAACTATGGCTATTGATCCACCATTATGAAGAATTTTCTTATGGGTCGAAAAAAATGGGGTTATGTGTTTGGGTCTATACTGCGTCCTTCGGATCCAAAACAGGACAATTTATCTGGTTGCTAGTGTCACATGAGACTATGACAATGCCCAAATTCTGATTTGGTTTCATAATTTTGTGGAAGATCGCATTGGAATGATGTTCTCCAAATATCCTACAGCCAAAGAGGTGTGGATGTACTTATTTGGCGTCTATCAGCAGTCCAACTTTGCCAAACGGTATGAGTTGGAGTCCGCTATTCAGCATGCTCGTCAGCGGGACAAATCTATTCGAGATTTTTATGTTGAGATGACGGGACTCTGAGATCAGCTTGCTCTTATGGAACCTCCTCGTCTTATAACCCTCGATGCTTATGTGCAGTTCAAGGAGAAGGGTCGTTTGGGGCAATTCTTGACGGCTCTCTCTCCTCAGTACGAGGCTATCCGTGGTGGCATCCTTCACCATTCTCCCCTCCCTTCTGTGGATGCTATTGTTCGTGAGCTTCTTTCTGAAGAAACCTATCTCAAGACGGCCAGTTATACCGTCTCTTTCAGTCTTCTTAGCACAGCCACCCCTATTGGCGACTCCATCTGCTTCTCAGCCTCAATCTTCTGCCAAGCCCAAAAAAAGGCCCTTGGCATTAGATGAGTGCGCTTTCTGCCATTAAAAGGATCATTAGAAGTACAGTTGTCGTAAGAAGAGCTGTCAATCTGCTCAGTTGTCTCAACCATAGTTCCGAGGTCTTGCTCCGAGTACTTTTCGCCTTTCTGCTGCTTATACTACATCTGCTCCAGCTTCTGATCATGACTTGGCTTCCTTAAGTGCCCAGATTGCCCAGCTTCAGCATCTCTGGTCCACCTCTCAGTCATCTTCCTCTGCCTCTACTCTCACCTCTCTTCATTCAGGTTTGCTTGGGTCCTCTTCAGGTATTCCTTCCTCTGTCTGGCTTTTTGATTCTGGTGCCTCTCATCATATGACTCCTTACCTTTCCTTACTTCAAAACTGTATCCCCCCTCTCGTTCTTATTACTATTAATACTACTAATGGATCTAGTATGTCTGTCTTATCTATTAGGTCTGTTTTACCCTCTGCCCTGTCTACTGTTACTATTCCCTCTGTTCTTTATGTTCCTCAGCTATCTGTTAGCTTGCTTTCTATCAGTCAACTTGATGCTTCTAGTTTTGATGTTATCTTTTGTTCTTCTGTCTGTTGTGTGCAAGATCGGGTGTCCAAGAAGCAGATTAGGACCGGCCATAGAGTTTGAGATCTCTATGTGATGGAAAGCCTACATCTTTCTCTGTCTACCTCCCCCGTTGCACTTTCATCTTTTCAATTAGATTCTCAGTCGAGTTAGTTTTATTTATGGCATTCTCGTTTAGGTCATTTGTCTGTTGACCGCTTGTAGTCTTTAACTCAGTTAGGATTGTTAGGTAAAGTTTCTCCTAGTCAAATTAATGAGTGTCGAGGATGTAAACTTACTAAAATGACAGCTTTACCTTTTAATAACAGTACTTCTATTTCTGCTTCCCCTTTTTCTCTTGTCCATACTGATGTCTGGGGCCCTTTTCCTGTTCTCACTAAAGGGGGTTCTGCGTGTGTACTATGTGTCATTTGCTGATGATTGTACCCGCTATACCTGGATTTATCTTATGGCTTATAAATCTGACTTTTATCAGATATATTGTACCTTTCAGTCTACGATCACTACACAATTTGGAGCTACAATTAAAATACTCCGGTCCGACTTAGGTGGGGAATACTTCAAAACTGAATTCTGTGAGTATATGGCCAAATTGGGCACTATTTACCAAACCTGTTGTACTGATACCCCTGCCTAAAATGGTTGTGCTAAGCGTAAACACCGTCATCTCCTTGAGATAGCTTGATCTTTCTTTTTCTCTGCCTCTGTTCCGGCACCATTCTGGGGTGAGGCAGTTTTTACCGCTGCTTTCCTCCTTAATCGCATGCTGACTCCCCTACTCTCCAGTCAATCCCCTTATAAGGCTTTGTATTCCCAACCTAGCAATTATTCCCTCTTGCGTGTCATTGGGTCTGCTTGTTTTGCCCTCCTTCCCCGTAAAGATCGGGCCAAACTCAGTGCCCGGTCTGTCTTGTGTGTCTTTTTGGGCTACAGTCTTACTCAGAAAGGTTACTGTTGTTACAACCCTATCTCTTGTCGCCTCTATGTCTCCCGTCATGTTGCCTTTCTCGAACGTTTGTCTTACTTTCAGCTTCCCCCTCTCATTGCTCCCGTTTCCAAAGAGGATTTGGTTAACATTGACCCATTTCCTTCTGAGGTCCCATCAGATAAGTATATCGCCACTGTTCCTCCTGAGGCCATTCCTACTTCTCCGTCTACGTCACCTATGGCTCATTCTTCTCCTTCGGCTGCTTCTTCCCCTCCGTTGTTGGTCTATTCTCGTCGCAAGGCTCCCCCACCACCAGTTTTCTCCACTCTTGTTGTTGCTCTTTCTGCTTCTAACGACTCTGATCCCGCTGCACATCGATATTCTACTCGTGAGCGTCATCCTCCAAACAGGTTGGGTTGGTCTAATACATATTTTTCTCCTTCCTATCGTACTTTTTTTTATCTATTATGATAGTTTTTTTTCAGAACCTCAGTCTTACATGGAGGCCTGTCAGGATCCTAATTGGGTTCAAGCTATGAAGGATGAGTTGTTTGCCTTGCAGAAGACTTACACTTGGGAGTTGGTTCTTTTGCCTACTGGCAAGAGTCTGGTTGGTTGCAAAAGCGTGAGCCGATAGAAGTTTCTTAGGTTGGGAGCGCCTCGGGAAGCGGTAATATATATATATATTTATTTTAATACACATTAGAAGTTTTTTTATAAATATTTTTATTTTAATACACATTAATTATTTTTTATTAATTATATTTTTTAAATAATGTGTTATTATTAATTTTTTTTATTTTATTTTACATATATTTATTTGTGTTTTTTTATTAATATGTATAATATATACTCATATATATATATATATATATTATAAAGATTATATATATTAATATTTTTATTTTTTTAATTAATGTTTTTTTATTACATATATTAAATAATAATGTGTTAATATATATATATATATATTTTAAATATATATATTTATATAAAGATATATGTTTTATACTTATATATATTCGAATCATATATATCAGGCGAGAGAGAGAGCACGAGTGAGAGAAGGCAAAGACGGAGGAGACGATGCCGATCTGCGAGAGCAAGCGAGAGAGACGAACTTCGAGAGAGAGACGAACTGCGAGAGAGAGAGAGACGAAAGACGATCTACCATAGAGAGACGATCTGCCAGAGAAGATCTGCGAGAGCGAGAGAAAGAGAGAGAGAGACGATCTGCCAGAGAGAGAAGAAAAACGAAGCAAAGAAGCAGGACGATCTGACCTTCAGGTACTTCACCTTCTTTCTCCCCTCTCTCCTTGTTGACCAACAAGTTAGGGTTTTTGTTCACAGCCACCAACGATCCCATCTTGGACAGGATCGCGTTTCTCTCTCTACAGAAACGCGATTCTTACACGTTTCTTTCTAAGAACCGCGGAATTGCGTTTCTTACGAAGATTCGTGTCTTGGTTGCACGATTCTTGCAACTAAGATCAGGATAACACATATTAAAAATAAGGAAAAAAATCATTAATCTAGTGATTCTACTTATGACCCTATTGCGATCCCATGCAATCCTACTTGTGATCCTACTATAATATCGATCCTACAACAATTTTGATCATTTTGACAATTTAGGATCGTAGGATCGTATGATATTACGATCCGGATCGCGATTTTGATAACCATACATGTAATATGTAAATGAACTCTGGAAATAAAACATGTGACTATCCACCGAACTTCCTACGCCACATAACTACTTTTTAGGCCTATATGGCCATCTTTCGAAGTGTTATGCTATAAAGGACTGAACAGTGGGCAAGAAGCATGTCACTTCACTGGTTTATCTATAATAGCATCTCAACCACGGTTTAATATTAGCCCCAAGTACACAACACAAGTCAGACCTTAATCCTTTACCACTAAAAGCACCAACCAGATTAGATTAAACTTGGGGCAAAAAATTACCAATCCTTCTGACATTATATCTCTTAGCTTTCCAGGTTTTACATTAGTGATTAGCACCACACGGCGGTTCTGCAAGATACATGCAAACAGCCAAAAAAACCATTAGAATGTAATCACCAGAAAATGACTGTAGTTCAAAAGCTTGGCAACTTACAAATATATTAATGAAATTCAACCGGGAAAAAAAAAATGAAAAATTAAGTTTCACTAGCTCAAGCAGTATTCATACTGTCAACTCATCAGGACTGCAATACTTTGCCAGACCACTGACCACCTGCCGCAATTTAGCATCTCCAGTATCTATCTCTTCAACCAGCAAACTGCTCATTCCATTGAAAGAAACAAAAGAGTATGATCAATTTAGTCAATCCAAATCCTGTTGGTTGGAAAACTGGAGCTGGTGTTTATTAGAAAAATGAAGAAGGAAGAAAAAGAGAAGAAAATAATAAAAAACCCATCACAGATGACAAAAGAAAGAAAAATATCAATTCTTATACCTGTCGGCTGATGGATGTTTCCATGCTTTGCGAATGAGGCCAACCTGTATTTTCAGCAAGCTAACACTAATGTCTTTATCTTTCTCATCTGCTACTTTTTCAGGCAATTTCTTCTTCTCTATCACAACTTGACCATCTCCTTTGATCTTTTTTGAGGAACAAGGCAGCAATGTCAATATATGATAATTATTAAAGTGAGATATAATGAAAGCAACGACATTACTTGAGCTACAAATGTGAACCACAATATTAAACTTCGAACCTAACAGCAACAAAATAACTGACTACCTTTAATTGATTAACCGAAAGTTCCCAGTAATGGCGTTATCCGAAAACTTTTAAATATAGTTGCCACAGCCTAAATGCTTATGTTCCATTAAGTAGGCAAGTAGTGGAAGTTTACAATTCCTATGATAGTTAATTTTATAAGAAAAAAGAAGAAAAAGAAATCATTGCTATAAATTTGAAATTCTAAATATTTCTTTCATCTGGGATATCTGTTGCATCGAATTATTTAATTAACATACATGAATTATGGTGTGTATTATTATTATTATTATTAGTATTATTAGTATGATGTATATTATTTTTGAGACTTTGACAAGAGGAAAAGGTGCTCTGAAGTAGATAAGGCAGGCTGGGTAGATTTATTTGGTTACCATTCAAAAGTACTAAAATTACCATATAACCTCAGTGGCCTAAAAAATGGGGACTTAAACCTTCCAAGTAGCAAATTTGGAATTCTTAGCAGCCCAAAAAGTGTATCAAGTTAAATGTACTACACCAGAAAAACTCAGCAACAGTATTTTGAAAACTTGAAATATCTAATGCCACACCAAAGCAACAATTAGTGGCAAGAAATGGGGGTTCCCAAAAAAATAGGGGAAGAGAACAGAGAGAGCATGTCGGTATTTTAATTAGAAACAGCAAGAAAGAAAAAAACCATTAGAAGTTAGTAAAGGACAATACCGCATTAGCATTTTTGTTTGAACTCGAGCCTTTTTCTACACTATTTGCATCTTTCTTGTCTTGCACAGCCTTCTTTGCATTTGAATCTGTTTCCACCTTCTCAACATTTTTTGAAGCCTGCATATAATTCATATATTTAAAATGTTTTAGGTGTGACTGAATAATAACAACTCCATGAAAAATAGGAATTAAAAATTGCAGATTAAAAAATTTCTAGGAACTGATTCAGCTAAACCAGCCCTCGGGCATGAACAGATACAAAAACATTCTGATGTGATATATAGACTTGCTCTGGCAGTAGCAAAGCACAGTTACAGTTTTCTAATTATAAGAAAATAGCTCATAGATATGTGCCAGCATTTTTACACACTCCATATAAACACAAGACTACATTCACATCATGAGCTTCAATTTACTACACACCAACCTTCACGCATCCACAGCTTCAATTAGCAAAAGCATTAGCAATTTGCAAAATATGCATTAGGAATGATATTATTAAGCTTCGATTGGAGTTCAAAGCAAGACTTGAAAGTTGAAATAACAAAGACAACAAACTAACTACCATACAGGTCCGGCCCTACTTCTAACAAAAAATGGTATTAATGTGAAGATTTATTACTCACCGGAGGCTCAAATGTGTCCTTCTCTATCAAAATCTGCTCAAATGTTTTCCCAAAGTCCTCCTTATTCTGCACAAATGAATTACAAAAGGTTTAATACTATCAAGCAACAAATTTGTACAAAAGGAATAATATCAGCAACCTTGACAACTTCAAAGATCAAAGAACTTGTCAATTCAATAAGGAGCAGGATTTCTGATGGAACTCCCCCATCAGGAACACTGCTCCACTAACAATTCTAGATAACTAATTCACAAATGCTTGTTCATTCAAGAGGTATCTGCCTCAACATTGTCCCAAACTTGGCTTAAAAATTTAAGGAAATGAGTTCAGCCTAAAAATCAAGACAGCTCAATAATCACAAAATGTAAGCAAATGTGTAGGTTTTTCAGAAATTGGTTCCAGTATTTTAGCTTAATGCATCCTTCAGACTTACTGACAACAAAACCAAACCAAACCAAGCCTTGTGTCCCGATCAAGTAGAGTCAGCTATATGCACCTTTTACACCATTCTATTCTATCAAGACTAATGCTCACTTAAATTAAATAAACGTATATCGTTTTTTACTACCACACACCATGTCAAATTTAAGTCTTTCCCTCCCTCTACCATTTCAATTTATGGTGATTATATCATTCTACCCTACCGTTACACCTATAAGTCTTCATGCCGGATTTAATTTAAGCTTAATCGGAACCATTCATATGGTACCTAATGGGATATTATGATTGAAAAAGGGGTCAACCATTCAAACTTAGAAAAAAGAGAGATTTATGCCAATAATCTAGGACGTATATAGTTTTATAAATTGGGAAGGATTCCATGTTTACGAAGATTGGGATCTAGTCAACAGATGTCTCCAATTCCATTGATGTCTAAGGGGACCAACTTGTTATGCAAGTAGTTATAATGTCTGTTTGTATCTTAGGATAACGATTGCAAACTAAATAAAAATATGCCAACAGAAAACTACCACTAAAACCAGTAAGTTTAAAAGAAAAAAACTCAAAAACAAAAACAAAAAAATACACAATGAGCAGCTACCTGGATATAATCCATCCATCTCATCAAATGTGGCAAACTCTTCCCGATCTGAATCCGAAAGACCTTTCTGGCAACAACAGGGCACCCAAAATTTGTTATAATGTAAAATTTATTATGAAGGCATCTAAACAAAAATAAGTGGCTGCATTTGGTAGAGTATTAGAATTATGATTTGAGAATAGAGTTGTATTTTGAGTTTGTGAGTTTTGGAATTATGATTTGAGTGTGGAAAGTTTGTTTGGTTGTGAGTTTTGAAAAGAGTTTTGAATTGAGCTTGAATTGAGTGATATGATATTTGATTCAAAAATTTACAACTCATAACCAAACGCACAACCCAAAATTCTATTCAAAGCTCATAAAAAAAATTTAAAAATTCCCAAAACATTTTTTATTTAAAATATAAAAATAACAGGTCCAAAAAAAAAAAAAAACCCGAACACTGTTCCGGTCAACCGCCCGAACGTTTGGGGACGTCCGGGAGGATGACTGGGTAGACGTGTTTTGAAAAGTAGGTATGGAATCAATTTTTGAAAACTGTAAACAAACACCATACTGAAACCAAAGGGTGGAATCACAATTTGAAAGTCTAACCAAACACAGCCAATGTCTTTTTCCTATTTATGTCCCTCAGCCTTTAAAAGGTTTCATTGTTCATTCACTAAGGCATCCCTTTTTTTCAACTTAGAAGTATAAAAGAAAGAAAGGCACATATCTTTGTACAAAATTTGATTTTGAGCAAAGTAGAAGAAATGTAGAGCTGAATGACAATATAAAATTCACCGGTCCCCTAACTGTTGTATCCCAAAGATTTCCAATAAGCCATGAGAAGCAAACATGCAATGATACATAAGTTTGATGCAAGTGATAATAATTCTACTGAGGGATGGAATGCATACCACATAGGAATAAAGTGCTAAGAAGACAATAATATCAGCTTCAGAGGGTGTCAGCCCCTCCCCCACAAGAACAGACTTTGAAGCCAAGCATCCATTTAACTCGTTGAGAGCCTTTAAACAAGCCTCAGAATCTACTGAAAAATTCTCTGCAAACTCTATCCATTTCATAACCTACAATAGAAATTTGAGTTTTACCTTCAAGACAAAATACCCATAATTTCTTCTGAATATTTTTGTTTAATTGATGTGCTAATTATCACAAATTTACAACCTGTGATAAAAAGGTTTAGACTCAAAATATCACCAATGACAAACCAACTCAACCTTACCTCACCATTGCTTTCAAGAGTGGTCAAAATGCTTGCACACAAGCTCTTGATATCCTTTTGCAAAATGTCACCCTGGAAATTTTTCTGCACAAACCAATTTCATAACTTAACAACCACATGCGCATCACAATTTCAAACAAAATATGAACAAAATGGCTTATTCAGTTTCTAAAATTCACTTGGCACTGAAAATCTTCACAATTCAGCCGAATTATTAACTCAAAACAATTGGCCGCCTCGATTTTAATGTCGTTATGATATTCAGATAAGTTAATAAGCACTGAAATGTGAAATATATCCCACTTTGCCCATTCAAATTCAAGTTGTTACATGCATTTCACATTCACATTCACATTCACATTAACATTACATCTTCAAACTAAACACGAATAAATTTGCTTATACAGCTTCTAAAATTCACTTGCCACTGAAAATTTTCACAATTTAGCTCAATTATTAACTTCAAACAATTTCCCACTTTGATTTCACCCCATTATGATATTCAGATAAGTTGATAAACACCGAAATGTGAAATCTATCCCACTTTGCCCATTCAAATTCGATCTATTACATGCATTTCTCGAACCACAACTACTAAATTGCAATCTAAGCTAAACTATTGAGGAGTGTTTTGAGAGCTTACAGACTCCAAATTGAGGCGTTTACAGAGAGCCGAGACGATGAGTTGATTTCTACTGGGGACGACACTTTGGGTCGAAATCGCCATTTGCGAATTCACTTTCTTTCTCTGTGCGTCTTCGTCTCGATTTTGCTCCCACTGTTGAGGTGTACTGAGATGAAGTTCATAGGGTTTTCTTCATGGATGATTTTGTATTTTGAAATGGGCTTCGTGTGGGCCTTGAAGGACCCACAGCTTTGGCCCAAACCCTAGTGAGTTCAAGATTCTGATTGCTTCGGCCCTAGTTCAAAAGCTTGGCATTAGGACTGCTCACGGATCGGGTTAGATTAGGTGACCTTCCATTCTCTATCCGTCCGAACTTACGTGGATTGAAAAAAATTATCCCCATTTATCTGCTTAGTTAGCGGATGCGAATTAAGCAAGCCATACAAGTTGATGAGTGAATGCGAATTGATTTGGCGGTTTAGATTTTACTATGTTATGCTTTTTTTGAACAACAATGCTAGAGATCTCAAAACTTTTATCAATTTGATAAATAGCTAAAAGTTTTGGGATCTCTATCATTTTTCTATTTTAAAACTATTTTAGAATAATTTTTACTATTTTAAGCCTTATTTGAGTTCAAAATTTTTTACTCTTCATTTTTATGTTTAAAATAAAGGCCAAACTTTCATATTTCATAAATAGCTAATATTATTACTAAATAAAATATCTTTTTTTAAACATCCAAAGCATAAAAATATAACATCATTTCTTAAGGAGAGTTGGCGGATCGGGTTGGGTCGGGGGCCTCTCATCCGACATCTGTTCGAACATAGGTGAGTGTCGAAAATCTTTATCTGCATCAATCTGCTCATACTATTGAAATCGCTTAAAAGAGGGTGAATTGGATTGGGTTAGTCGGTTTTGACGAATCAGTAATTTGATTTTGAGCAAAGTAGAAGAAATGTAGAGCTGAATGACAATATAAAATTCACCGGTCCCCTAACTGTTGTATCCCAAAGATTTCCAATAAGCCATGAGAAGCAAACATGCAATCTATCTATACTATTATCTATTTATCTATCCATCTATACTATTAGAAAGTTAGGTATGGACATATTCATATGGTGTATTATTGAATCCCAAGAGCGATGAAATACAAAATGGAAGATTAAGGAGAGGTTTAAAATAATTAGTTAAACTGCAAAATAAATATGATTTTGTCAATCACTTGTCATAGTCATAAGAAAAAATATACAATAAAAAAAAAAAAAAAATTTGATTATATGAGGACTAACAATTCTCGACATGTTAATTCCATATAATCCAATCCATCTAAACAATATTTAAGGAAGTCTTACGACCAAGACTAACTCCTTAAATTGATATATATTTTATTAAATTATACTTCTTTTATTATTTACGAAGACTATAGATTGTTTTCGGAATTGATCTTTTTAACGACTTTGGGTATTTTAACAAAAAAAATGCAAATAAATAGAGAAAAGAATTTTTTTTGTAGTGACTTTTGAGTTTTCTGCTAAAATGTGATGTCGCTAAAATAGGCCTAAAATTAAGGCACTATTTAGCATTCCTTACAAATGTGCACTTTTTTTATCATTTTATCTTTTTAGAGTCGCATCACCTCTTTACTTTTTTACATATCTTTTCGTTTAAAGTCAAAAAGTATACTTATTTATATTTAGTAGACTATTTTACTTTCTACTTTTGAGTAAATTACACTTGCTTCTGGAAAATCTAAAAATCCCCGAGATGTTTATTTGTGATTATGTATCAATTTTAACCAGTAAATAACAATCTCAATCAAATAATCAAAGACAAATCAGCACAACGATTTAACGTGGAAAAATCACAATTGAAGCGTCTCCAATTGTAATAAATAAATAAATAAACCACAAGCAAAAGCCACAAAACAATCCACTAAAAAGACGAACATGTATTACACAAGTGTACCCTCAATTACTTAGTGAATCCACGCCCGAATTGAACTGACCCTTATATGCCTTTTCTACCACCGTCTTTAACTTGGAATTGTCTTGCCCAACGTTGAATCCACAACGCCGATGTCAAATCCACGACGATGAGCCACCCGGAATCTACCAAAGCTTCAGCCCCAAATTCCATGGAATCCACCGAAGAACAAATCTCTCTTTTGTGAATAAAACAAAATAAATAAACCCTTTGATATAATTCACTCAATTCATGATATAAATTCTCACAGATATCAAGGAAACAAGTAAAGAAGCTCTAGATAAAAATCCTAATACCCAAAAAGAAGATCTAGAAGTCGTACCCTAGAAATTGAATTAATCGCAGATTTATAGAAAAACAGAATCGCGATCTTCACTAGAGCGTAGGAATAGCCGCTCGAGCGAATTAACTAAAACGCGTATTTCAGAACAAAGATCTACGCTCGAGCGCAAAAAAGGCCGCTCGAGCGTAAAAATATAACTCCCAGTACTTTTTGCAGGCGAGTGAAACTTCTAAAAGGATTGCATTTTTTCTCGAGCGCAAAATCAACTGCTCGAGCGGGTCAAGCAATTTCAACTGCAATTTTGCTTTTAGCTCGATCCCTGACATAGTCAACGAAATGGCAAACATGAAAGCATTAACATCAAAAACTCCTCTACAAGACACAATTCGGGTTGGATTCGTATCTAAATACTCATAGCCTCACTGAAATAAAAGAACGAATAAAATTATAACTGAAAAGGAGTTTTGTCAAACGGGATTGTCAATAACAAAAACCTAACAATCTCCCCTTTTGGCAATGCTGTGACAAAACATACCTAACAAATAAAATTCTAATCATCCCAACCCATTACAGCCAACAAAAACAAACTCAAGGTCATGATCTGCAAAACAACTATTAGTGCCACAAGAGTATATGAAAAAGCAATAGACATATATGACAAGATTATCTTAAAGCATGAGATGGAAATATGAATAGATGTAAATTAGAGATTTTAAGAATATGTAGCATGAATCGATGAAAATTCTAAGAAACATGCAAACATGCCCAAAAACCATTTTGACTCAAACTTCTCTCCCATTTTGTCATGAATTGTCAAAGGAAGTTCAATCAACGAAAACAAGAGCATAAACCGCACAAGTAGGGATAAGATAATGTAAAAATTAATAACCTGTGAGAAGTAAGCAATAAATAAGCACTGGATGGCAACATACAAACCAACTAATGCCAATCACCCTTACCAAACCAATCAATGTAGGATGACCCAAACTCTCCTTCACTAAAAACAATCACAAACACTGAAAACAATGAACAAGAAAAAGGCAAAAATAATATAGTGGAGCAAGTAAGGAATTTCATATTTGTACCTTAAAACACACAAGATTATCCAAGAAACACAGTTACTTGAAAACACAATGTGCACAGCCTCTAGAAGATTCCTGATAAACGAAAGTGATGCATTACGTGAAAAACATAGATCTCATGATAAACGTGTGTGTGTGACTCTTGGAGTTCGACAAAGACTAGATTCAAATCCTAGTAGTGATCTAAAAGCTGGACTTCTAGCAAGAGAGTCTAAACACAACTAAAGAAAGTTAAACCACTAGGAATCAAGGGGTATTTGTTGAGTAAAAACATAGGCTTCTTCTCAATCAATGAATCTTGTTTTCTTTTTCTCTTTTTTTATTTTTTTTTAATTTTTTTTTATTTTAAGTTTCTTTCTTTCTTTTGCACACTCATTGGCAACTTTCACGCTCAAGAGTATGGAAACCGAACCAGAGAAGCATGGATACAATAAATATAGCCTAGTTAGTGACTCTAAAGTAGCATTTTCCTCATGCCTTGGCTGCAAAGAACTGAGGGAAAAGCTATGGAGATGTAAAAAGACGGAAGGTGGTTAAGAGACTCAACATCACCCATGATGTGCTAGTATAGGTCAATTCCTCTAGAAAAGCAAAAGACACAATGCTAGAAATATATAGAGAAAATTGATCACTAAGGCTGAAGATTCCGATATTTGCTAATCAAAGACTGTGTACAGAATGAGATATACTAATCAAAGAACACACACTCCAAAATGAGTAATGACCATAGAAAGCACACGCATATTAACATGTAATGGATATTCTCATCAATTTCAATATGCAACAAGAACTTCTCAAAAATTTCAAACTTGCAAGAAAATCTTTTTGGATTTTTTTTTTCTTTTTAAAACAAAGCAAGACAGAAAATGAACAAGCACATATTAAAAGACCCAAAAAGAAAAAACAAACAAAAACCCAAAACAAAAAAAAAACAAAAACGAATAAATAAATTAACACAAATCAAGGTTTCTCACCCAAATCGCTTTAGTATGAACAAAGTTGTAAGAATTACGATTCTTGGGTGGTGTCTTGACGTTGTGGTTCCCTTCCCCTTCAATGGGAACCCGTCTCGACTTAGTTTTCAACTTTCTATTCCTAGGTCTAGGTAAACAAAACCTCTGCATGTTTGGTCTCAAGCAAATAAAAATAACGAGGTCTAATATGACCGTTAACCTCATTACTATAATGAAGTGTCTCCTAACCCACGAGATGTTGAAATTTCTTCTATCTCTATGAGACACTCTCTCATGCAACTCATAACAATAAGGGCGAATATGACCATACATACCACAATGATGACAAATAAAAACAGGGTGTACCTTCTCTTCTTTGGCCTTACCAACTCTAGGAAGATTGAGAGGTCCATCCTTATGTTGAATCTTTTGTTCTCCTTTTCCTTGAGTTCTTGTATCATAAGAGATAGATGCACTCCATTTTTTCTTATTGTCACCACAAAAGTCAATGCCATTCTTGTCATAGCACATTTGTTGAGATCCAATGATATTGTCCAAAGTCTTTGATCCTTTGTTCCAAATTCTAATGGTACCCATAGCACACATGAGCTCTTCCTCTTTCTTGATGACTAGCTCTTCCAAGGCAACTTGAGATGTAACGCCCCAACTTCCAGGCCGTTAATAAATCAACTCAACCTCAAATTTAAAATTCTAACTAATTAATAACCTTAAAAATACAAAATTGTATCCAAAATAATTACACAAAAGTCTCCAAAATACAACTTATACAAATCTCTAAAAACAATATATAGTAGTGAGCCCAAAAATCTCTAACTTAATAATCCTTTAAATTCTTCAAATCCAACCGCCACT